TATAAACTTTAAAACATAAAATTTCTCTATTTTGTGGAATTTCGAAGTAATAAATCTATTTTTTTAATTCGCAATTAAATTATTAAAAAATACATCAACATAAAATTTGAAAAACGACCTTTGTTAGGACTGTAATCATTATCATCTCTATCATTATTACCACCATCATCACCACCATCATCATCATCAGTAGCTGCCTCATCAACGTTATCAATACTTTCATCAGATTTGTTTTTATCATTCAGGTAATTGTCATCAGTTTCATCCTTATTGAATCTAGCATCGTTATCATCGTACTCGCTACTATCATCATTTGCATAGCTATCATTTGCCTTATCATCACTTTTTCTATCATCTTCTTCTTCTTCTCGAGTTTGGATACTAAATGATTGGTGGCTATCATCATCGTCGCCATAATCACCATTGTATTGTGAGTTATTGTAATAGTAATTATCATATATGTTATCATTTTCATCGTAATATAAATTGTTATTGTCGTTGTTGTTGTTGTTGCTGTTGTTTTTGTTGTAGTTGTTGTTGTAACTTTTGTCAATGCGTGATTTATTAATGTGACTTTTTAAATTGCCTCCTTCATCTTCAACATTATTATTATTATTATCATTATTATAATTATTATTATTATTTAACTTGTTATCACCATCGTTGTCATAATAAGTTTTATCGTTGTTTTGCGCGGTATACTCATCCTCATCATCATCATTATTATTATCACCATTCTTATCATTATCATTACCATAATCATTTTGTCTGCTAGACTCATCACCATCACCATTAACGTTGTTGTAATCGCTTTTGTTATTATCATTGATCGAATTGTTATCGTAATTATCACTGTCATCTTCATAATCTTTGGTATTAGTAGTAATAGTAATAGAAAAAGTAGTAGTAGTTGTAGTAATAGTAGTAGAAGTAGTAGTAGTAGTAGTAGTAGTAGTAGTAGTAGTAGTAGTAGCAGCAGCAGCATCACCAGTTGCGGTAGTATTCTCTAATTTCTCAAATGCTGTTGATAGCAATGGTGATAACAAAGATGATGATGTGGAAAGTGATGGAAATGATTGGAGTGGTGATGAGGAAGAAAAAAAAGAAGAAGATGATGATGATGGCGATGATGGTGGTGGTGATGATAACAACGATAAGGACAGGTATGAAAGAGATGATGCTGATGATGATTTTTGTTGTGATGATGGTGATGTTGATGATGATAACAGTGGTGGAAGAATAGTTATGAATATTGTATCATTTTGTAATGTAACTCTCGCCAGGATTTAATATAGGCGAAGACAATGACCATAATGCTAAAGAGGATTGAGATGATGATGA